GACCCAGCTTACATGTTTTCAGGGTCCAGCTGAGTTCAACCTGGTGGTTTGCTCACAGGCTAGTCATGGTGGCTATGCTGAATCCACATCAAAGACTTCTTTGCATGTATGGTTGCTTGTTACTCTTAACTGTTGGCTGTTACCCAGGTTTGACTCTATCAGCCCGAAGAGCCCTGTGTGATCCTCCCATGTGCCTTGGAGTTCTTAGGACCAACATATTAAAACAAACATACTACATACAAGATGATAGCGTATTAATATCCTTAAAGTACTGAAGGAAACCAGTTAGCATTGTTTTCATAGCTGAGACAACATAAGAGCATCATTTTCTATACAAACAAGTCCAATTTAATAAATTTTAAATTGGTTATATAATTTATTTATCAACCATTAAGATTTCTTAGTTTGTTGGTTTTTTTCATTGTCAGATTTTTCTGTCAGGTGTATAATATGACTTCATTAATACTAGAAGGAAGAAAAGAAAACAGCAAAGAAAATGGGAGCAGAAAATAATAAAGATAGAAGCAGAAAAAACGATGAACTACAAGATAAAATCAAAGTATATTCAGGTAAGGTAATTGAAATGTATGTTTTGAAGGCATAGAAAATAGTACAAATTGAAAGAGAGATTTATTATCTCATTTGGGAATGTCATGTGTAAGAGCAAGGAAAGCTAAATTAGAAGATGTTTATATCAACAGGAGAATTTGCTTCCTTCTTCAAATTATAAGCCACATTCGAAAGCCAAACGGTGTTAAAGAGAGTGCAATCAGATACAATTGCTAGAGAATAGACACCAGCCCCATGTGATGACACAAGCCTGAATTCCCAGCAATCAAGAGGCTGAGGCAGAAGAATTACAAGTGCAGGAGCAGCCTAGCACTACAGTGTTTAAGGCCAGCTTGTGCTACATTGTGAAAACTTGTCTCAAGAAAGGAAGGAAGGGAGGGAGGAGGGAGGGAGGGAGAGAGGGATGGAGAGAGGAAGAGAGGGAGAGAGGAAGGGAGGGAGGGGGAGGAAGGATTCAAAAATATATATAAGTAACTTGTACTTTGTATACATATACACAAACATACATACACAGTAGTGGAATTAGGTAATTTTACAACAATGTTTTGATCGCAAAATATTCCCTTGAAAAATGAAATTTGATTCTTTATATTATTTGCATTAATACAATCTAAATATATTGAAGACCTCAATTGAAAATAAGACTAAAATCTTAGTAGAAGAGATAAAGGATATCTACAACATTGTAAATGTATGCTTAGAGGAGGAAATAGATTCAAAGTGTTAAGCTTCTTGACTGCCTCAACATTTATGTTTTATTTTGTGACAAAACATGACTAATATTACAAGTCAACACATAGAATGTGAAACAACATTCATAAATCCATAGCAAACATTAATGAATTAAATAAGTTTTAGAAACCTATCAACATGAAGAAGAGAAATGAGCAATCAGCCTTAAACATGTATACAAAGTAGGAATACTAAATGAACCAAAAAGACTGCACTTATCAATATATACATATATATGTAAGAATAATAATTAAATAATGGCAGCCTGTGAACTTGAAAAATATGGAGGCTGGGAGGAATGGGAGGGAGGAAAGAGATGGAAATGATGTAAATACTGCACTCAAATATGAAATTGTCAAAAAGAAATGCAGTTTTAAGTATTCAACAGATATTAACTAGCACTTTACAATATAGAAATAAACATGGCCTATGATTATATTGAATGACACTTTAGCTCACACAATTTTTAAAGTTTAAAATTAAATCAATAAAAACTATTTTACCCAGCATACTAACAAAAATCATTACATTAAAATTCAAGCTATTCCCAAGTACACAGGAAAATGGGCTATTAGGAGACTGAGTCAGCAATGCCTGGGAAGATGCTGTTATTCCTAAACGTTCACACATCATAGCTGGATCTACTCAAGGAAAACTTCAGATGAAAATATGTGTGAACACAACAGCCTCTCTTCCTCTCCATGACTTTCCTGCTTCATATCGTATGATCACATTGCTAACTGCAGCACCATCGGACACACAAGAGAACATTGCCTGTAAAATGTAAAGGGTGAGGGACTCATGCTGAATGAGGCCTGCACACTACACTGAGAGTGTGTAACATTTATAATGGTAAGAGTCAAATATGTGCTACCACAGCCTGGACAGCTTTACAAGCTGATACACTGAAAATCATTAAAAGTGAAAAGCAGATGGATCTTTTCAAACATGTAGTTTCAAGTAAACTATAGGAAATCAATGAAACACAAAGAGGGGGACAGAAATGGCAGGGGACACAAAATACATAGGGGCAGACGTCAGTCGTAGATTATCAGCCTCCCTGCAAAGCCACATTAGCTCTGGTTTAAATCTGTCTGTTGATACACACTCACACAAATCCAAGGAGATTATTACTCACACAGATAATCAAGGAGATCCAGTGGGCTGACCAACTCTGCAACTACTTAGGCCCACTGGATCTCCCTTGTCCTGACCACCAGGGTGAGCTGTCCAGCACTGCCCTGACTAGTTCACCCTTTGCAGAGATGAGAAAGGGGCAGAGTCATTTCTTCTGCTTTATGTCCTTGCTCTCCCAAGTGCTGCATTCTGCTCACAATATTGAGGCTGGCTCACCGACACCTCTGCCAACAGGGTCACCTCTACTGTGCTTCCCAGGTGAGGTACAGGGTCTACTTTCTCCAGTGCTGCAGCTGGTGGGGAGCAGGGAAAGCTCTCCCACTCTTATGACCTCAAGTCAGCTCTCCTACCTGACTCTGGCATTGATGGGAGGCAAGGGTGAAGGGTGGGGTGGGGGTGTTCTATGATATTTTTAGAGTTAAGACATGGGAACCAGCCATCAGCATAAAAGGCAATACCAATGATCTGATTGTTCCTGTGACTAGAGACACAGTGTCCCCTACTGAAGTTCTGTCTGAGGCATTCATTAATCCTTGGTGGATAGCTCGGTTTATTCTTTCCAAGAAGTGAGGTAGGATAGAAAAACAGAAATAATAGTGGCACATGAATAGGGAAAGGAACCCCTCACTAAAGCATCTGACTGAACCCTCTCACCAAATGAATAACAAGAATTTTAGTACAATTAACAACATTCCCTGTTGTTAATAGGAAATGATATTCTTTTCATGTATAGATATTATATGTTAAAATAACAATAAGCTAGATTTATGGCCTAAATATATATAGCCTTGAGTAGGGCCTCTTTTCTTTCCCCACTCATATACTGAAAGTCTCAGACTATTACAATATTTACAATAACTATAACCCACCTTCCTTGTCCCTGAGATCTTATGTATCATAATCCTGTCTGGTAGCTCCAAGAACCACCCTGTGATCTCATTTGGATTCTTAGCAACCCTTTGAAGCACAGTAGCCTTTAGACTCACTGAAAGGGTATACTTGACTATTATAAAGGCAATAAAGGGTGACTCTATATTAGAAGACTCCATGCACACTCCGGGGTGCCATACTTTCCTCCTTAGAGTCTTCCTCTCTTAACTCTCTTAAAATCTGTACTAAAATATCTTTATTAAACCCCAGCTCTCCTCACTACTCTGAAATTCTTTTCTGAGTTGAAGCCATCAATCTTGGTTTGGCCTGAGGTGAGGTCCCTAACAGATGAGATGGCCTCCTCGGGCTACTGTCAGGGACAGAGTGAAGCTATGCTCCCGCCTCTGTCCCTTCACTGCTCACAGAAGAAACACCTTCTGTGAAGTTCATTTTGAAGTCACCTGCTAAATTAAGAGATTCACTCTCCCCAGGACCGAGCTGCTACACAAAGTCCCCTTTATCTTCAGCGTGCTTTGTTACCCAGCTTCATTATCCTCGACATCAGATGGCCTCGGCCAGCCTCCCTTTTTGTCTACTTGCCCTTTTGTAGGTGGTTCACGGATTACTCGTCCCTCCTGCAGGTCTTCCCTCCTTCACCGTCAGCCTTTTCTCTCAAACCTTTGCTGAGCTACTTGCCCCTCTCCCAAGCTGGCCTGATCCCTAACTTGCCTTTGTTTTCACTCCTCCTAGAAGGGACAAGTTCCCTCTTCCTCCTGTACCAGATGCATGAAACTAAAACAAATCTCTGACTAGAAAAGAGCCATTGGTTTTCAGAAGCAGCCAGCTTGGTCTTTCATGTTTTGCTTTTTAAATGCACCTACTGGCTCCAGCAGACAGAGAGTGGGACTTCATTGGTTGCCCTGATTTCTGCAGGAAAATGACTGACATCTCTCTCCTCTCTGATATCTGTGACAATGATGCTTTAAATATGAATTGGGTGTCATAACACTGGGTCTTTGATATGATTGCCAACAGCTGTGTTCTGGGCTTATTTACCTTATACAGAAACCAATTGAAATAAGTTTTGTTATTTCTGCTTTGTAGTTAAAGAAGTAAGCTCAGTGGGATTAAGCAACATGTCTGAGATGTCTTGTTTCAAGTCTCTTTTGCTCCAGATCATGGAAGAATGTCCCATGTAAATTCATAACACTGGGCTGCAGGCTTTCCTGTCACCCTGTTGTCACTCTCCAGCCTGGCAGCCCAGTCTGGAACTATCCCAGACCAAGCATCCTCATTAATGTTTCACATTCAGATGGCTATCAAACCATATCTTCTCTTGCATATCAAAAGGGAAATCTGAATAGTCAAGTGGAATACAAATGAAGACTGCAGCCTTCTAGAGATCAGATGGAAGCTTTTATAATACATTTCCCAAGGTTTCAAATTATGAGACACGTCAAGCAAGCAGACTCTCTTTGCTCTGTGAACACACATGTGTCACACATGCACATTCACCCACGCAGGCACCATTCCCATCACTATCCTTACTACTGCCAGGGAAATAGTACTTTCATGAACCTGGTTGTATGTTTTCTCACACACACACATATACATGCAACATGTGCAGATAAAAGCACAAGTGTCTACACAGATAAGCCTACACAGCATATCATATTTATTTATATATTCTTACATACATTTATGGAGACACAAGCAGCATATCATAATATTTTAGTAATATATATCTATAGGTACATATATTTGTATTTGCATCAACAACATATGACGTTATTTGTGGTTTAAATTCGATCTCTTAGATTGTATTTTACTATGTATCCTAGCACAACTTTTCTTTTTGCTTTTTCTATACTTAGTTTTTGAGATTTATTACATATATAGACCTACACATGCAACCACCTTGATTTTTCATGGAAATAGTAGTAGCATCATACATTAGCTGGATTTGGAATACTGGGCACCATTTCAGCCTTCTGGGAATGTTTCTTCATTTAGTCCTTCGTGTTGGATAGGAAGCATTGCTGCAAGGCAGGAGTGGAAAGCCAGAGAGGCAGCTCTGCCCCTCCTCTCTTCATCTGGTCCAACTCTGAGCCAGAGTTTCAGAACAGTAGACACTAGCTGGAAAAGCAAAAGGAGACTGATGGTTTGCTAATTCTTCTAAGGTCACAGATCTAATAACTGGCTCCTTGGGAGTCCAACAACAGAGCCAGATCTCAAATCCTCCAGCGTACTTCTACACTATCCAGGTCCTTTGTGCACCCATCCCTGCCTGTGCAGATGCCTTGGCTATCTATGTAAGATGTCAGAGGAAAGAGGAAGCATGATTATCAGACAGAGTTATCCTTTATCACCGCTGCCTCACGCATCTAACATGGACTCCCCCTGAACGAAAAAGACCCAAACAGACTCAAGCTATAAATCAAGGTCAAATGTTAGCTGTTATAATCAGCTATTTTGTCTTTGATTTTTACATTTATCTCTTTATTTAGTGCTTGTATGTGTAGGGGTATGTATGTCAGAAGAAAACTTGTGGGAGTCAATCTCTCCTTCTACCGTGTGGATCCAAGGGATAAACTCGTCCTCAGTCTTGGCGGGGGGGGGGGGTCCCCTGCTGAGCCATCTTACCAGCCCCATTTCTTTATTCTCTTTAAATCTGATGCTATGTTCAAGGTGAGCTTGGATCAGGAAATCTGATGACTGTCATTGCCGATAAGGTGGTGTGCCTCATCTTGATCTTAGGGTTGGACAAAGAAGGGTTTGCTGGGCTCCGGGTCCCTGCCTCAGAGAGGGCAACATGAAGAGCAGAGCTGCATTGCTGTTCCTTCACTCAAGTCTCCACCTCTGCTCCCTTGATGTCCCTACTGAAATGGGAGCCGCTCTCTTGAGAGCTACAGCAGTCTATGTCTTCATTTTTATTCTGTCACTCCCTAGCCAGATGCATAGAGGCCACTTGACAAGCCACGTTGTGTCTCTATAGTATCTTGTTATTGTTGCAGGGGACAGAACTTCAGCTAGTAAAGTTCAAGGACAGAGGAAAAATTTCCCAACTCATGAAATGAAGAAAATGAATGCAGGCAACTGTAGGGCCTCACATACAGACAGACACTGGGAAAATCTGGCACCATCAATTCAGTCTCATCTCGCCCTTTACACAACTGTTCATCATTGAAGGTTTTCTTTTAAGTGGGATTCATTACAGGACTCCCTTCCTTCCACATGTATATTAAAGATTAATACATGTGAAACCAGTAGCATTGTGCTATGGATGCAGTAGTAAGTGCTCAATTTAGTCCACTTTTACTCTTGCCGTAATTACCAGCTACAATTATAATTATTTTTACAATTGTTGACCATTTTCAGGCCTCATATATTTTATCCTTACCTATCTACCTCTACTCTGCTCACGTAGTAACCACCCACTACAAAACATCAATCTTGTCTGTTCAAGAAATAAGAAGCTAAATGCCATTTGCCTAGGTAGCAATCATCCTGAAGAGTAGAGAAAACCTGTTTTAGCAATGTGTCTGAATCAAAATTATCTCATAGAAAAATTCTGATTGTCCAGCCTTTGAGTAGGTGCCTACTTGTAGATCAAGTCAGCTGATGCTGAGGACAAAGCCACTGTTACACAGGATGGCTGTCCTCACTAGCTTTGATGAGAAAGAGGAAGAATACCTATTCTACCTATGTCACACAATCATGCCCACTTTGGTTTATGAGTGTCCCCTTCTATCCGAAATTAGAACCCAAAAATGTATTTATACTGGCCACCTTAGCATTAGCAACATTCTCGAAATGTCCATAATGATAGACAATAACTCTGAGTTACTGGTAACTGCATGACTTTGGCAGCAGAAAAGAGTGACAAGAAAAAGCTGAAAATGTACAAGAAAAAACCTGAAAATTTAGACTGTAATAAGATTACCTCCTGACACCAACTTAAAGCTTCCGTGCCAACCAGATCTCAGTGCAGCCATCCCCTACATCCTTCAGTTCTCTGAGCTTTGTCCTTGTTACATGCCAACCTCCTCCTCTCCTGGCCAGGCTTTGAGGAATGGTTTCACATCTCATATTCTATCTATCTGCCCTGGTACCCAGTAGAGTGCACATTACAGTAGTCAACGAATGATAAGGAGAAAATGAGAGAGACAGTAGACATAGCCGGTTATCACAAAGTGGTTTGTCCCACCAAAGAACAGAGAGCTAGGGGGCAAGATGCCTTGTGAATAGAAAGAGGGCTACGGGGCAGGACACCTTCCTAATAGGATTGCACTGTCCTTCAACAACTTCTATACCATTTAGCACACCTTGTATATTTTCCTCAAAAGTGAAATCACTTGGGTTCCTAGATAGAAAACATTCACAGAGGAGTTACAGATGTTTTCTTCCTTCTACTTCTTTAATTAATTTGCCCACTGATTTGAAAGTAGGGGAGTGTTGTTTTAAACCCCATCTCATTTTTCACTGGGAAGTTGCAGAATCTATAGGTTCCTGAGTTTATTCCCAAAGCTGTTCAATCCAAACTTCAAAGAAGAGTCCAAGGATTCATATTTCCAGGAACTTTCAGGTGACTCCATTAAGCTGTAGGCTTTAGGAATGGTCCTAGACTAAGAACCTCTCACCTCATTATCTTTTTAGTTCCTTAAAACCCTTCCTCATTAAATAAGAGATGAGCAGCTTCCAAGAACTCTCTGGAGCTCATAATCTGGCCCATATGCCATTCTCCCAGAGGAGAATTCTACCCTTGTCTAGTGATCCTAAATGCATTATAATGGAGCTGGGAAAGATAAGGGTACTAAATTTAGTATGATCAAAATGTATATTCAGTTATCAGATCTTCAGGAGCTGGAGCTGAGTTTCATGTACCAAAATTGATATGTTGTTCACTGGGATCTGAGCCCTAGATCCTGACTTCTTAATGTTGGCTCTGGAGGTGTATACAGAAGAGGTATGTATTTTGTCGTCTCCTTTCCTTGGTGTCTTCATTTCCCCTCTTTCCTTTCCCTTACCTCCACTGAAAGGGGTTGTTTTATATGCCTCAGGTCATACTGCACTGGTTTGTTGATAATTCAAAGCCCTTTTCCTATCTCAGCAAATTCTCTTTTGTCTCATTTCTTCAGTATTGTTTCCTGTTGTCCTTCCCTACAGGCAAACATCTTAAGGGTTTGATCTCATTTTCATGTGTGTTCTTATGGACTTATGCTCTTTTATCTTTATGATACAGAGTTGTGCTAGCAGATTTTTATCATGCATCACACTGGAGTGTTAAGGTCACCTGGTTTGCTGTGAACTATGTCAGACATTTGCTCCCAGAAGTAGCATCTTCCCTGTTTTCATCCATTTATCAGATTCCATGAACCCTCCCTCACCTGTAACACAGATCATCCCTCTTGTTTCCTATATACTTTGAGGACAGCCATAACCCATAGCAGGAATGCTGACTCACAGAATATAACAGTGCTTACATTTTTCTTAGTACCCACAGTGTCCTTCCCAGGTCCTCTTTTTCCATCATTTATGCCAGGGATGCCTTCCCCTATATAAGAAAAACCCCTTCCACCTGAATAAAAGGCATGCAATCCCACCCAGAGACATCCCTTTAAGTCTTAACATATTTTAGACTTTCAGGGGTTCTTCTAGCAAAATGCAAACATCCCTCTGTATGAAACACAGAATGCATCTTTGCTTTGGGTTTTTTATGAGGATCACATAAATAACTCATCAAAAATGCCAAGCCCAAGTGTCTGGCACATTCACGGCTGCTCAATACATTTTGATTTCTTTCTTGAATACAGGAACTGGCAAGAAATCATTTATTAACAACACCTGGGAAGGGAGCACAATGCAGAGGGGGTGGGGAATCAGTTACCTGCACAGCTGAGCTGCCTGCCATAAGGAGGAGCCTGGGAAAGGAAGTCATCTTCACCCCTCCTAGTTCAGATTACCTCACATTCAGTCCCATCCAAACACTCTTCCAGAGACCACTATGTCCACTCCCAAGTCCAGTGTGCTAAGAATCCCTTGGCAAGTCTGGTAAGCAGAGAAGGCTAGCCCACAGGGCTCAGAGTTCCTGATACAATAGGTCTGCCTGGGGCCAGAGAATCTGCATTTCTAAGGGAGTCGCCTCCCTGCTTTGGCTGCAGCTTTGGGACACACCATGCCTGGGAGGGGACTACACCACAGGGACTAATTCTCCTTCACATAATTCAGAGACCCTGCTTAAACACTTTTTGCGTTTTCCTTAGAAATGGTCCACAGATAGGGCCAACAAAAGACATCTAAAAGAGTAAGAGGCTTCCTACCCTCAACAAAAAGATGGATTCTCAGACCCTGAACACCACACCCTTCTGTCCTCCAGGATAGTGAGCTGTAGGCTTTGGGAACTTCAACCTCTCAGACCAATAAATGTCTGCTCTCACCATTTTCAGTTTGACCTGAACCTCTACTTTCATTTTGCCCACTGACATTTTTTACTCCCATTTAACACCCTGCTTTGTGCAATCCCTCAGACTTTTGGCCCTCCTGGTATCACCCCTGCAGCAGGTGGAACTGTAGAGAACCCCAGACCATCTCCTCTGAGTACTAACATGGATTCTATAGCCCAAGCATTGATAAAAAAAATCCACATGACAATATAAAAAGCTTGTGACTGAAGTGTGGGGAAGACCTGGGTTTGAATTTAACCTCTACCACTCCCAGTTAACTGGACCTCCGGGCCCAGGGCATGTGTCAAATTTTCATAGACTTTCCATAGACTACACATCAAGATGCTTGGTAGCAATAAAGGAATGAAGTGTTACTATTTATGACACTATGGATGAATCTGGGGTACATAATAGTAAATGCAAATAAGCCAGACAGAAAATCAACATCTAATCTCACACAGTTTCTAAGAAAGTGATCTTGAAGAAGTAGAAAGAAAAACAGTGGGCAGAGAGACCCAGCAGGACAGCAGAAGTAGGGGAATGGGGAGAAGATTAGTTATTGGGCACAAAATTATAGCCAGATTGGAGGAGTAAGCCCTGGTGTGCTATCATAGCTAACACCGGAACATGATATAATTAAAATTGAGAGATCCCCACAGTGGAGAGACCCTCACTTAAGTCTAGGGATAAGCCGACACCCCAATAATTCAAGAGAGACTGTTCTTGATGCAAGCTCCCGAGGCTTATTCAGGGAACCAGTGCACTGGGGCCGAGCTCGTAACCCTTGGAGGGGCAGAGGAGTTCAACCCCCAATAGTTGCAGTCGGGGGTTTTTAAAAGGGAAAAACCATAAAGAATGGGAAGTTTAGGCAAACACCATAAAGGATGGGGAAGTTAGGTAAATACCACACAGCATGGGGAAGTTAGGTGATAGCTCATGCCTTAACGGGAAGGTTATAGATTATCTCGAGCAAGCATTCTTGGGGCATTGTACAGTTAAACATTGAGCAAGGCACCCGATGTATCAGGAATGTGGTGAGCTAGTTCCTGAATCAGGGAGTGTTATCTTTTAAGTTTATCTTGAGGTCATCAGTTTCTCAGGAGAGGGCAGAAGAACAAGTTACTCTGTGCTGGGCTAGTTGCTAGGGATCTAAAAATGTTGAGTTAGGGTCTCTCTAAATGTGCTACTAGGAGTTAATTCCCAAGAGGAAAGGATCTTGCAATAAGGAGTCATGAAGTCTGAAGGTGTGGTGGGTATTAGGCAAACAAAGTGTTACTTCTTTTTTGTTAGTTATGTGTTCACTGGGGCCAGGGTTGACAGTTATATATAGTCATACAGCATGTACTGACAAAACACAGCCTTCTTTACTCACCATTCCCTTAAACTCTTCACAAACCTCTGTTAATCACGCTTCTACATTCAGGTCAACTCTTTTTAGCTTCCACCTTGATAGATAAATGTGGTAATTATAGTTTAGTGTTGGACTCACTTTATCTACCATAATGTCCTCCACTTCCATCCATTGACTACAAATGATAGGATTTTATCCTTCATTATGAAAGAATAATAATCTATGATATACATATTTATTGTCTATATCATTTTACCTCTCTTATAATGGAGGGGGGAGCAAAGACAGTCAGGAACTGGGCTAGGAATCATTTTATAAAATTCTGGCAACACATCTGACTGCATTCTGCCTATATCCTGAGAACTTGAGTGAGTTGGAATTTAAAGGTAATAAACTAACTTTTTTGGAAGAGGAAATCATAAGACAGAAAAGTGTTCAGGCTGTAGCGTGAACCTGTATATCTTCAGATCTACAGCAAAAAAAAAAAAAAGATGTTGTTACCCATACCTGGTGAGGTTTAGAATTTACTCTCAGATTTCACCTAGAGAATCATAGAATATGATAGCTGGGAAGAGGCAGTTGCAGTTACGAGTTTCTTTTTTATTTTATGTGTATGTGTCTGAGTATATGTGTGTGTACCATATGTGTACAGGTACCTGTGGAGGCCAGATGAGAGCTTTGGATTTCCTAGAACCATAGTTACAGTTAGATGTGAGCCACCCATTGTGGGTAGTAGAAACCTCAGCTATTCTGAGACCATGATACAAGATTCAATGATGCCTTCAGTGTCACATCTTTGATGTCTACCAAACAGGAGTATATAGCATATGCTACAAAGCTCTGCTGGCAGCTTGTGATGTTTCTTGTCACGTTGGTCTACACATGCAGCAGCTTCTGTGTGCTAGGTGGTTACTGTTTAGGAGCAAGCAATTCCTTCAACTGCTGCACTCTCAGTTCAAGCTCTGTTCCTTTAAATAATTCTACAACCACAGAAGTTGAGTCTTCGTTGGGTAGTGCTCTTGCCTTCAGGGTACATATGTGAGTGAAGATCAGATTATTTCTGTTTAAGAATTAGTCTTTGTTTGAGCCTGTGCCTTGGGTACACAGGTAGCATGCCTGAGCTATTTTCTTACTCAATAAACTCTTTGTGCCTTACAGGGGTCAGGGCAAGAACAATAGCTTGAGTCAATGATGCTGTGATAGTCTGCCCTGTTTTGTTTCAAAGTTCATGGCCCCCAGCATGGTTCAACAGCCCACAGAAGCCAGCGCTCCCACTCTTCCCTCAGTATGTCTTTATCATTTCCTTTTCCTTTTTTTCCCCTCTTCTTGACAGACATTCCCACTGAGAACTAAAGTACTCTGTCCTCAGTTACTGTTTCTCCGAGCAGAAACAGGACTTAACTATTAACCTAAGTGGTGATAAAAGAAGTATAGTAGATTTACTACACATCTGCACTCAGTGACTGAGATACATATCTCTCAGGTTCCCGTGTCACATCTATGACTATTGTTTCCCTTGGTTTTCTTATATAACTGGAACCTTGAGGCTGTGTTCAATGCATGATGTCCCTCCCTGCAGCTACCCTGCATGAACACCATTCTGTGTTCACCACAGGTGATCACACCCCCACGTAAGGCTAAAAAATAAAAATTTGTCATTTTCACTCTCCAACATAACTAACTCAGGCATGTCTCTGCTGAAATGATCTAACAAGCAAGTGCCAGCTAAGTGGGGTTACTTTTCCCCCACTTAATCAAGAGGAATTTCACTTCTGTAGCAAAGAGTCATAACAACACAATCAGAAGTAGCTTAGAGAAGCACTTACCCGCACAGTGTTGTGGGCTGCTCTCAAATTCACACCCTGGGGTCATGTCAACTTCCAGTGGTCGGACCAGAATTCTAAGTTTGGCAAGAGCTAGAGTTCATGGAGGGAGAATTAGGTAACCTTCTTTAAAGGTCACAGGTGAAGTCAGAGAGAGTTCAGAGTGTGTAGTGATTTAACCTCAAGCTGTTTGCGATCAGGCAAATAAAGCCGTGTTGTCAGCCCACCATGCTCTTGTTTAGCTTAGCTTTGCTTTGTGAAATACATTCTTGGACTTTAGCCCAGCTAGACTCAAACTTAGATTGACCCTCTGCCTCAGCCTCCAAAGTGCTGGGCTTGCAGACTTGGGCCACAGTATCTGTTCCATCGGAGTCATTTTATCAGAGAATATGAAATTCATGGAACTCTGTGGTTTAGCTGGACACTGGAAACAGGGTGTGATGGCTAATCTTGGTTGTCAACCTGACTGTATCTGGAATTTGTAAGAATTTAGTGCCAGTGAAGGAAACACTACTGTGTCAAAGAAAAGTCAGCTGGCCCTTCATGTCTCACTTGATACAGAGTAGGTTCCTAATGGATCAAAGACTGTTGCAAAGACATAAATTATCCCAGAAGAGTCTTTGGGATTACTCTTAAAATTGTTTTATTTCCACAGGCAATGCAAAGGATTAAGAAGAAAAATTAGCTAACATGACAAAAATTTTTAAGTTTACTCTTTTTCTTTCAAAATTAAAGGAAATTAGAGGCAAATGGCAACCTGGAAAAACATTATACGCTGAAAATCACATAAAATATTTTCTATTATGTAATACATAGCTATCTAAATTTAATGCTAAGAGACTAACATATTCTCAAATGCACAAAATTAGGAACAGGTAATTTTCAAAAGAAATATGTAGCCAAAAGTACATATAAAAATAAACTATAATTTAAAAAATGAGGCTAGGCTATTATTGTCTGCCTCTGAACAGTTAAAGATAAAACATAAATTATAGTACTGAACACTGATGAGTGCAGTATGGAATTCATTTTCACATGGGATGTAAATGAACACAACTTATGTGGAGAGCAGTTTGGCACCATGAACCAGAGCTTTAAAATATGCATTCCTGTGTAACAAATATTTACTGAACACCTGCTTCTTGCCAATTTTCAAGGACTCAGGAAAAGAGCACGTTTTTGTTGAATATAAAAGTATGTCATATTCTCAGGCCCAATAAAAGTCAAAGGAACAGAAAAGATTGACAGAAAATGTATTAATCAGACCAGTATGGTGTATGATCTTAAAGCATTAGCAAAGGATTATATATCTAATAAAAAGGTAGTTGGCTCAATGAACCATTAGCATCACACTAAGAATATTTTGGGCTTCAACTGCGATGCCAGCATTTGAAAGAAATACTTGTGTGACACTAGTAAAAGTACAATGCAAAGCACTTAATGGATATCATATCTGGTAGTAGTTACATGTTTGGCTCTTCGTCTTTGTGTTTATACAATTAAGGAATTTGAATATCCCTCTTTGTATTTTTCAATTGTCTACATTTTCTTTGTTGAACCTGCATTGCTGTTCTTTTTTTTTTTTTTTTTTTTTTTGGTTTTTACGAGACAGGGTTTCTCTGTATTGTTTCGGAGGCTATCGGTCCAGCCTGACCTCGAACTCACAGAGATCCGCCTGCCTCTGCCTCCCGAGTGCTGGGATTAAAGGTGTGCACCACCACCGCCCGGCTTGCGCCACCACCGCCCGGCGCATTGCTGTTCTTAAGAACACGAACGCTAAATATAGGAAACAATTTTCTAGAGGATATATATATATAAATGTATGATATGAAACTGCATGCACGTGAGTTTGTGTGCATGAGTACATGGATGTATACCTTAGTCTACCTAAGGTTGATGTAACCAGTTATCCAACTCACAACATATAGAGGGAAAAAAGGCCTTGTGCACAAAAAATAAGCACTGGAGAAGTCAGGAAAGTTAAATACACAGCTTACCTCTTCACTGGGATGAGGTGTGCAACTGCCCTTCCTGGAATGCCAGGAAGAGTGTAGTTTTACAACCAGGTGCTCCGTTGCTGCCTGATGAGACAGGCTCTACCCATATCTTCCAGAATATTTGTATTTACTTTTCTCAGACCCTCTCCTCCTAAACATTGAGTATTACTTTTAGATCATAAACCCATTCTCAAGAGTGATGTCACTTGTGCTATACAAACAGCTTAAGTGGCTTCTGTTATCTTAGATCCAGGCCAATCCTGACTCCCACAGGCATTGTGTTTACTTCAGTCAAGTTCCCTAGAGGCTAAATCTTGGGCACTCTCTCTGGGTCAACAGTATCTATTCTTGTGAATGAAGCCAATTGTACTTTGTAAAGAATCTCAATGTAAATATGTCTTAACTTGTTGTGCACTTGAGACTGAATTAATTGAATACTCTTTCTCAAAATTTTGCTGTGCTTAAATATGGCTAAAGTTAATTGATCTGGGCCAGGCTCTAGAAGTCATGGTGCAGTGCTGGATACAATAAAATATGGCTGAGCCAAGCAAGTTTCATTCTTACCTCACTTGATCAGTTTCTCCTGCCTGCAGAGGAATCACCACAGTAGCCCATAGTAATGTTGGTACAGATACTGAACATAGAGTTTTTATGCTTCTGTCTGCTTATTGAATTCTAAAGATCAGGGCAGATTCTGAAGGAAACTACCAAGAAATACATATTCGACTAAGACTTCAGTAGGCCTTATCACCTGAATTGTAAATGCAGGAAACCACACCAAAGTGTATATTTCTACAAACATAACCTGGAGGTGTGTCAAGATTCTGTGTGCTTTTAAACTGTGACTGGAGCATTCTCTGTGTCTCAAAATCAGCTATTTTAAATATTAGATCCTCTCTGTCAATAAATTTTGTGCTATAGAAGATGAGGTTTAAACATCACGGAAACATAACAGAATAAAAGATATTCTTGAGTCAGCCATTTCCATGTTCAGACAATGGAGTCAATGTTGTACCTCAGTAATGAACTTGGCTTTTTCCAGACAACTTTGTGTTCATAGTTTATAGGAATCTTTTTTCAGAAGTGATGAGAAGTGATAGATGGAATGCTTGGAACCTTCCCTTCTTGTAATCATGGTAAATTGTCAAGGCCAAACAAGTAATTAGTTTCTTTGGTCAAATGATTTAGAAGACCTACCTCACTTTCTGGGTCTTTCTAGATATAAAAATAAAATGGGGCCAGGTGTCCTCAGTGACCCCCACACTTGGCAACCCAAGAATGGTCAGCATGCATTCCAGGAAATAGAACAAAACAGCACTGATTCCCACAGGTTCAATACTACCATGGTGTTTGCTAGGAAAGCGCTTTTTTTTTTTTTTTTTTTTTTTGGTTTTTACGAGACAGGGTTTCTCTGTATTGTTTTCGAGGCTGTCGGGCCAGCCCAGCATCGAACTCACCAAGATCCACCTACCTCTGCCTCCCGAGTGCTGGGATTAAAGGCGTGCGCCACCACCGCCCAGCTGGAAAGCGCTTTTTTAAAGATAAAAAACAACTGTGTCTTAGGGTCTCTGTTATTCTAACAAAACACCATGGCTAATGTCTTAGCTAAGGTTTCTATGACTGTAACAAAACACTATGGCCAAAAGCCACTTGTAGAGGCTCATAAACCTCCCCAAATATCACCGCCAACTGTGGTTCACGTGTTCATTAGCCTTTGGAGAACACTGTCACTTAAAGACCCATGGCAAGAGACCCTTATTTTAATTCATTTAAAATTTGTAATACCAGATATGGGTGTAGAGATTCTTACTATTTGGTTTATGAAAATGATAATCAAAATTCTATTGCATTAGTCAAGCAGCTAAACAGAATGGTAGAGTATCAGCCACCACAGCCATGAATGCAAATGTATTTATGCTTCAGTGCCACAAAGGTGCTTCTACTCCTGACTTGAGATCTTATGTGCAGCTGATACAGATTTTTAGCTGTACACAAACACATGAAAATACAATTGTGGTAAGATTCAAACATTATGGCACTGGTACATAGTAAAAACAAACTACAAGTCTCCATCTCTTCATCCCCATTCCTTCTCAGAAGACTATTTTCCAGTATTTCAGAGGTTTTTTTTTTTCATTTTACATACCAACTCCAGTTCCCACTTCCTCCCCTTCTCCCTCCCCCACCTCCCCACTTTCTCATCCTTCATCCATTTCTCAGAAGGGATTAAAGCCTTCCTTGGGGAGTTAACAAAGTCTGGCATACCAATTTGAGGCGCAGGACCAGGACTCTTCCGCCCTATATCGAGGCTAAGCAAGGTATCCCACCATAAGGAATGGGCTCCAAAAAATCAGTTTATGCACCTAGGATAGGTCCTGGTACCATTGTCTAGCTCTCCACCCCAACAAATCAAGCCACATAACAGTCACCCACATTAATAAGGCCTAGTTCAGTCCCATGTAGGTTCCCCAGCTGTCTATCCATAGTTTGTGAGCTCCCAATAGCTTGGGTCACCTGTCTCTGTGGTTTTCCCCATCATGATCTTGACCCTCCTAGTTCATATGATCCCTCCTTACTCTTTTTAACTGAACTCCAGGAGCTCAGCCCAGTGTTTGGCATCTGTTTTCATCAGTTACTGGAGTAGGCTCTGTGATGACAGTTAGGGTAGTCACAAATCTGATTAAAGGGTAGTCCTATTTAGACAGCTACTCTATTATTGCTAGGAGATTTATCTGGGGTCACCCTTGGGGATTCCTGGGAATGTCTCTAGCACCAGGTTTCTCCCTATCCCCCTAAAGGCTCCCTCTATCAAGACGTCTTTCATTGCTCTCCCCATCTGTCCCTCCCCCAACTTGGCTTTCTCCATTCCTCATGTTCCCATTCCCCCTCCTTCCTTTCTACCCGCCTACCAGTTTACTCAGGATATCTTCATTATTTTTCCTTCCTGGGGACCCCCATGTGTGTCTCTTAGGATCCTCCTTTTTACCTAGCTTCTCTGGAGTTGTGGATTGTAGTCTGGTTTTCCTTTGCTTTAGGTCTAATATCCACTTATGAGTAAGTACATACTGTGTTTGTCTGAGGT